AGGCGCTCGCCAACGGGCCCCTCCCCCAGGCCTGGCTCCCGGGGGGGGGCCCGGTGACCCTAGTCCGGGCGAGGGAAACGGGACTTTGATGTATAACTTTTTCATAGGGTTCTTTGGGATTGCTCTTTGTCTGGCCCCTCCCCTGGGACCTTTTTGCCTTGGGAGACCCTACCAGGGGCTATTGCCCCCGACAACCTAGCCCCCAGGTTCACGGAGGCACGCAAACCCCTCCACCACGATAAGGTGGCAATCCAAGGAGGAGGTTGAGATGTTCATCCCTAAAGGAACTGGTGACCGGTATGTCACCACAGTAGATGAAAAGGAAGTCCAAACCAACAAGAACAGAGTCCATCAGTCAGTGGATTGTCTGTGTGCATGGAAAAAAATTTGAATAACTCAAAAGGGGTGATGACTGCTGTCTTGGGAATGTCCTCTCAGCCCATGCACACCTGGTGATGGCCCCATACAAAATCCATCATAGAAAAAAATCACTGTCCTGGCTAGTCCCTATATGTGTGGTAGCAGCCTGAGACTGGTGATAGTTGCCATGGTCAACATCCCTTGGAACCATGTGGAGGGGTGAGGCCCAAGAACTGCGTTAGTGGTGCAAAATCCCTAGCCTTTCTATGTTGCTGAACATGGCCTTCACAACATCCAGCTTCTCTGGGTTAAGACAGTGAGCACGGGCATGCACCAATGGACCAGTCGTGGAGATGTAGTGCTTGATCCAGTGCTTGTGAAGAACATAGCATGACAGAGCTGCAGGAAATTGCCCAGCAGGTGGGCAAACTCGCACTGTACCATCAACATGTTGCACAAAAAGGATGTAGTGACACTGCTGAGCTTGCTTGGGGTGGTGCTAAAGTTTTTCACATCCACAAGCTGGCGGTTCTTGACATCAACTAACAATCACTGAGAAGTCTGGGCATAGCAACCTTTGCCAAGATGTAGTCTTAACTGAAGGGCCACCTGCTGAAAGGTAGCATGCCAAGTCCCACATGTGGGGATTCTGGTACCATTAACGCCCTCCAGCTTGGGACCATTTCTCCCTGAATCTCCCACATTGATAGGTGATACTGGTAACACGCTGGTTGCTTGGCCTGGGCCGGAAGGATGAAGTGTAGCGTGGGTATTGGGCTTGCAGATTGGTCTGATAGAGGTCATGATCAGGAGGTACCTCTTTGAAGCAGAGTACAAGCTGTCGGCTACCTTGGCTTTCTTAAATTGGTCACAATTCTTAAGGGTACAAATCACATACTTAAGTAAAGCTCAATTAATTCATGACTCATAATGATTTAATGCAAGATGTTTAATGAATTTCTGTTGCTCGCCATGAACTAGTGAAAAAGTGACTGTGGCTTTATGGGATTACTTACCTATACTTACCAGGTCATCAGTTAAGGAATGTTAATAATTCCAGTTACCTCAAAAATTAATTGATATACCACCAAATTAGCTGGAAACCAAGAAATATGACCTGGAAACCAGCTAATTAATGCATTAAATCATCATGAGTCATGAATTAGTTAAGCATTATGAAGGTGCACAATGTTCTATGATTGCATTATAAATGTATTGTGAAGGTGCACTTAATGTAAAGTATTTTTTATAAGATATTTTATACACCCATTGTCAGACATCTTGATGTTGCTGGGGAGATATTTTAAAGTCAACAGATTTTATTTTGCCATTATCCCATTCCTCATCCATATCCCTGTACATGAGCAACATCTTTAAATGCTATTGCATTGTTTCCATTGTAGCTTTTGTACACTGTGATCTCTTCCCACCCAGGTTGTAGTGACCCTGTCATAAGCTTCTTTACAATGACCTGTTCTCCTGAGTCATCCCCTCCCTTGATCGCAAAAAATCCCCCCCATCCCCAGCCTGGCCATGCCCCCCTGTCTGAGAACCTGCCCATCAAAAAGTTTGTGCATGTCGCTGTCTGAGAAAGAGGTCCATTACTCCTATTTGTAGGAACCCACAAACCAGAAGCACCAAGAGTTTGAGACATTCTGCATTCATTGATATCGATTTTACAACTTTCAGCACCTCCTAGTTGCATCCACCAATGAGTATAAGAGTCTTATGATGAAAATTAGCCTATGGATTGATCCATTTTCTAACTCTGTTAACAAAAATAAACCATTGTCTTGTTTTTTCGTGTACACATGTATATATTTCAAATGTAAAAGCTGTTTTTGCAGTAGTGCAGTGTGTAAATTGAATTGGTACTGTTTTGCAAAGATTTGTTTTTTTTTTATTATTATTAGGGATGGGGTCCTACACCATGTTCATGTCCTCGTACTCGTCTTCATAACAATGTGTCAATGCTTATACAGATACCACGTAATATTCAATGTATCAGCAATGTCATTAACGAATAAAATAAACAGGACAAAATGTCTGCAGTGTGGTTAACAATAAAATCCAAAGCATAGTGGACTACAAACTATGCTTTACAAAATGATCAAAAGGAGGTATGGAATCAGGTTCTTACAACACTAGTAATCTAATTAAACATCTAAAAACTAAACATAGAGTACGATGAATTTGTCACTAGCCACAACAATCTGCAAATGTGCAGCAAAACACTAGCACAGGGAGAGGATATGTCAAATAATGACCCTCGTGTAGTGAAAATAACAGAAACTCTTACCCAGTATTGATCAGGCATAATACTATCTGAGGTGGTAAGTAATATAAAAAGCTTGTGAACCACTGCTTTAGAGGTTTTAGAATAACATGTTTTAAAATTACAATTAACTCACTGATCCATCAACTTCTACAAAGAATAAGGGCATTTTCACACACATAGTTAAGTTTCTCTGGTCCAAATCAATCGAGTTTGTAAATTTGTAGCGTTTTCTCCTTAGTTTAGTTTGCTTTCACATAGAGAAAAATCCAAGCGAAGCAACAATGCACCACTACAAACCATGTGAGAACATTCTGATTATTGGACAGTTGTGTCTGTGGTGGGAGCATGAAAAAAAATACAGGAAGAAGTTCCTGTGTCCTGGACTATGCAGTTGAACATCTCTCACTTTTATGTATTTTTGCCTCTGGTTTTTTACTTTCACAAAGCACTGTTCAGTCGACTGGTCAAATCCCCTCTCTCTTTCAGCCATTGACTGGACATATTGAAAACTTCAGAGTTTTTATGAGTTGTTTTTAGGAGCTGACAGATGTAGTCATATGCTCAGATTTCAAGTGGGCAACATACCTCACTGCTAGACCAAGTTAGACCTCAGCTGATTTTTCGTTCTCCGCCTAACTGCTGCTACTGGTTTGCATATGGCTATGGGAACCATTTACCTCATACCCGCGGTGTACACCTGGAAGTAGTGTCGGATTAAGGTCAGATCACATTTGCAACACAAACACACTGCTCCAGAGCTTGTTTGGGACTGGACCGAGG